GTTATCTAATTGCTATGGCTAGCACTTCCAGTACTATGTAGAACACAAGTGGTGGAAGTGGGCATCCCTGTCTTCTTCCTGTTCTTAGGTTGAAAGGTTTTAGGTTTTGCCCATTGAGTATGATGTTGGCTGTAGGTATATAAGGCTTTTATTATGTTGAGGTATCATCATTGCTGTTTTTATCTCTCTCCCTCTTCCTTCCTCTCTGAAATCAATAAAAATATATTTAAAAATAAAAATTAAAAAAAAAATAAAACCAAATCAGACCCTCTGTGTGGTCAGTGAGAACCTATGGCTCAGACTTACTGATCTGGAGGTTAAAAGAAAGAGTGGTCCCCTGTCCACTTTCCCCCGAAATCCCTCGACTTTTCTTCATCCTTCATTAAGGTTGGAAATTAGTTTATCTGCGAAAGCATTGCTGATGCCCATGAGCTGAAATGCCAGGGAGCTCAAGCGGAGAAGTCTCCCAACTTGGGAGAGAAAGCTCTATTCACCATAGGGTGTTATTGTCTATTTCTGATGCTTTGACATCTGGAGCCTCACTGGCCTGGAGAGACTGCCTCTCCCTGGGGCTGGCCAATTCCTAGAGAGAGTAAATGACTGGCCTTCTAGAATGCCTTTCATATGCAAACTAACCAATCCGAGCCCACCTCCTCCTCTATTGGGGTTTCACAGGCAGGGCCACTGTCTCCACAGGGCAGGTAGCAGACAACTAGGGACAGCCCCACAGCACAGAGCTCACTGAGAATGTTCAAACTAGACAACTGTAAGCCTGCTCCTCAGCTCCTTCCCACAGAAACCACAATAAGAGGTCTTGCCCACATTTTCCCCTGACTCCTGCCCCTTGACTGAGGCTGCTACAGGAGGGCGAGCTACGAGTGGTGGAGAGTTACCAGCGGCAGTGGGCAGGGTGGCCAGCTGAGGCAAGCAGCAGCGAGCTACTCAAGCACGGATTCGTGCACAGGGCTACTATTACATAAATAAAAGTCTACACTTCATAAATAC